TATATATATATATATATATATATATATATATATATATATAATATATGTGCGTGTGTGTATGTGTATTCACGAATAACATGCCTATACTACACCCATACATAGTGAAGCACCGACACAGCAGAGTGTGCGTGTATGTATACCAAATGCAATTCAGTATTTCTGTCTATTGCAGAAAAGGGAATTCAACTGCTGTGGAAACAATGCCTAATCATTGACAAATTCCATTTATCACTGGCTACTAATACACAAGTTAATGCACATCTAAAGTATTGACGAACATAAAATGCAGAGGCTATTCTTACATCATGAATGCACGAATGCTGGCGCTTATTTACAGCGGCGTATAAAATTACCGGTTCGTAAAGATAAGATAATAATACTTCAAAAAGAAACATTTAAATATCAAATATAATGAGATATCTTAATGACGTATCGTATCAGAGACTAATTGATACATCGAAGTGAGTTCATCAACGATGGCTTTAGCCTAACCGAGCCGACATCTAACATAAATAATAATAAAAATTAATCTCCAATATCATCGAGTGAGCGTGAAGTTGTGATTTGGGACTATTGTAGTTCATTTCCCTCATCGTTAACGGTGCCGCAGGCGTTCTTAATTCATACATTATTCGCACACAAAGATAGTACCAATACATCTTCAGTTACCAACTATTGTTCTCTAATAATGTCTGCTAAGGCATCTGCGGCCATACAAATTTCACCTCAAATACTTAATGATATTAACATGACAGACTCAGTTCACAAACACAGCCTGACTCACGCACACAATCAAATGATTGAACAGCAAAAGGTGCACACGATTCCGTTGCCTGAAGACCCGCGAACATTGCAGCTGGCATTGGAGCTCTCCCTGGTGGGCCTCAATGAGAGTAATCAGAATAATAGTTATGCTCAGCCAATACTCGCACAGAGTGATTATGATATCGGCGATATTAATGTGGTGTCTGACGCATTCAACAGGGCCGATATAGGGCCCATGAACAATCTACCGCTACCACCGACGACTGCATCTGGCCTTTTAATGCCCTCCGTTGGCCTGGAGGAAAGATCAAAGAAATCACAAAATATGACCGAATGTGTTCCAGTTCCCAGCTCTGAACATGTTGCTGAAATCGTGGGACGCCAAGGTAAGGAACCGTCATTCATATTGCCAATTATATTAAACTTATCTTCCTGTGACTAACTGCATTGACTAACTGACTGGATTAATTCCGACAATTTACATCATTATTAATTTATTATGTTCCTAAAATTTAATCATAGCTTATGATGAAACTGGATCAGTCCGCTTTGGCGTCGAGTGCTCAGAAAAGTCCTTAGAAATATAGTCCGATACTTGGTTACAAAATTTAATCATATTCTGTGGGCTAAACTAATAATTTATGAAATTTAGATTTTGGTTAATATACGATATACCTATCAATATAAAGCAATTATATACAAAGCTAATACGCACTGCTATACCGCTCAATTTATTTGTTTATTATTACTATTTAGGGTGCAAGATAAAAGCTTTAAGAGCAAAAACAAATACCTATATTAAGACTCCAGTGCGTGGAGAGGAGCCAGTATTCGTTGTAACAGGACGCAAAGAAGATGTAAACAAGGCCAAACGCGAAATACTATCAGCTGCTGATCACTTTAGCCTAATTCGAGCCTCACGGAAACCATCAATAGAAGGATCGAACAGCGGGATAAGTGGAAGTGGCAAATCGGGTTCATTGGCCATGGGCATTGTTGCTAGGGCGCAGTCTGGGCCGCCCTGTTTGCCCGGCCAAATTACAATCCAGGTGCGTGTACCTTACAGAGTCGTGGGCCTAGTTGTTGGGCCGAAAGGTGCCACCATTAAGCACATACAACAAGAAACACAAACATACATTGTCACCCCGTCTCGTGAAAAGGAGCCCATATTCGAGGTAACTGGACTACCCGAAAATGTGGAGACCGCACGTAAACAAATCGAGGCTCATATAGCCCTACGTACGGGCAATAGCGCTCATGGCAGTGAGAATGGTACGGAAACTTTAGAGTCACACGAATATGCTACTCTGCACACGATTAATACGCTCAGCCAGATACTAAGTGACGATCTTAACTCAGATATCTTGTCATCAATCTATACGAGCGATATTGCACCCAACCTTAATTACGTCGACAACTCGCGTAGTGTCATTGATAACATTTCAAGTTCCAGCACTGCCAACTCTATCATGCCAGTGCATAATTTAACGAAATGCTTTCAAAATTCTGATCTAGTAGATCTCACATCTAATGTAACTCCAATAACAACAACGGACAGAAACTTCGCGATGGCGCTATCGGGCACTGTAAATGACCTAAACGTGCAGGCATCAAAAACAAATTCATTATTCCGTAATACAAATACCAATGTCAATGCCAATACCAATGTCATTGTCAATACCAATGCCAATACTACCGCCAACACCAATACCAGTGTGAATGCCAATACCAACACCAATAGTAATATTAATACCAAATCGTTGTCATTCTGTACATCCACGTCCGCCTCTGCTAATAATTCATCTGGCTCTTGCCAATCAATCTCAGCTAACATTTTAACGCGTTCATGCTCATCTGCCTCCTCGACTGCATCAACTAAAAGCACGAACAATAGCGCGAATAGTACTAACAGCGTTAATACTCCCCCAGAGCTGTTGAATATATGGCAAAAATTGAATGATGCAATTGACGTTGATGAGGGCATTGGAGACTCTCCCAGCATTTGGAATCTACCATCAACAACAACGACTACAGCAGCATCCCATTGCTCGCCTACTGCCTCAATAAGTCCAACGGACTCGCTGCTAGGGGAGCACAGCCTAAAAATTAGTCAGAAAACTACAGACAACGGCACCTATAAGGAACCAGGCACCAAAAATAGTTCTTCATTATTGCAACATCGTAATCAGCGGAACATATTGAAGAATAGTTCAGAAAAATTGCATCGTGAATGCTTTGTATGCAATGAGAGAGAAGTGACGACCGCCCTAGTTCCCTGTGGTCACAATATGTTTTGTATGGACTGTGCCAATCAAATTTGTGTCTCAATAGAACCCATTTGCCCCGTATGTCATTCAATTGTTTACCATGCCATGCGTATTTTAGCATAAATGACTACGCTCAATATATATATATATATATATATATTCATTGGTATTGGTATTATTCAAACTAAAAGCCGATTCTAATTTAATTTAAAAATGTATGCTATAACCGGAAAATGCAGTTGTCATTAAAAAATATGTAGGAGTTAAGTTATTAGACTAAACTAAACTAGAAACAATCCCAATTAAAAACGCAAATAAAAAGTTTATTTCATTTGCTCGTAGCAATCCCGAAAATAAAAGACAACAAAAAATTATCAAACATTCAGCCAAATCTGACATAGAGATATATGTAATATTTATTATTATTTCAATATTAATCAAAACTACGTCAACATTTAAAATAAATGTAATTTGAGGGCTCCGCAAGGAGATACAGCAGAAAATATTATGTATTTTAACAAAAAGACTAAATAAACGCACTTTTATTTGAGATCGTAATTTAAAGAAAATTAGAGGATTCCTATCAAATCCATTTTTTCACTAGTTTGGAACGCATTTAAAAATTCCATATTAAAATTAGGAAACCATATATATAAATGGTTTCCTAACCTTAATATAGAAATGTTAACATATACATACATATATGGAATATATACATAACCTTAAAAAAAATACCAATACAAAAACAAATATAAATACAAATATGAAACACATTACCATTTCGAAAACTAGATATGTGTAATATTATGTTATATGTAAGATCAATTTAAAAAATCAAATATTTTTAGATTTACAAATTTATTAGCTTCTTAATCATGGTATAATACTCATATACGCATAATCCCATATATATATTATGTGTGAATAATAACAAATATACATACATATATATGAGAATACAGAGCTAAATTTTTGTATTATTCACACATAATATTTGCACATATGTATATGTGATTGACAACAGAAGTGAACTGTTTGTTTACACCACATATACAATATGCATAATTGATAATCACGTTTAAGTTGACTGATACATAGGCGATAATACATTAGGTACATGCATATATACGAACTCTTTCCAATTTGAATTTAAATAATATAAATTATATGAATTCATATAAAATATAAAAAATATATTAGAAATACATCTTATATATATATATATATATATATATATATATATATATA